TTAGCCGGTTGAGCTATAGGCGCCGAGCCTCTTTTCTTCTTTTTTGAGATAGAGTCTCACTTTGTAGCCCTCGGTAGAGTGCTGTGGTATCACAGCTCACAGCAACCTCAAACTCTTGGGCTCAAGCTATTCTCTTGCCTCAGCCTCCCGAGTAGCTGGGACTACAGGTGCCTGCTACAATGCCTGGCTAGTTTTAGAGATGAGGTCTCACTCTTGCTCAGGCTGGTCTCCAACCCGTGAGCTCAGGTGATCTACACCCCGTCCCCAGCCTCCCAAAGTGCTGGGATTACAGGCATGAGCCACCACATTTGGCCCTGCAGTTTCCTTCAAGAGCTTTTCCTTTGTAGTCACAACTTGGCTAACCAGTGTAAAAGGCCTAGCTTTCGTCTAGTCTTGGCTTTCAACAGGCCTTTCTCGCTAAGCTTAATCATTTCTAGCTTTTGATCTTCCTTTCACTGGAACACTTAGAAGCCACTGTAGGGTTATTAGTTGCCCTGATTTCAATGTTGTTGTGTCCCGCCCAAGGGGAGAGAGAGAGAGAGATAGAAGAATGGCTAGTTGGTGGGGTTTGTGGCGCCCCCAAACAGTTACCATAGTAACATCAAAGATCACTGATCACACGTCACAATAGCAGATATAATAATGAAAAGTGTGAAATATTATGAAAATTACCAAATTTTCAACATAGACACACAAACCGAGCACATGCTGTTTAAAAAATGGTGCCAATAGACTTGGTCCACACGGGGTTGCCATAAACCTTCTAGTTATATCCGCTAAGCACGATAAAGCACAACAAAATGAGTACGCCTATATTTTAAATTTCAGTTTAGGCTAAAACATTCTTTCTTTTTTTTTTTTTCTTTTATTAAGTCATATACACATTCTTTTTAAAAAGAAAGGAGTACAGCATTATTAGCTTGTGGAAAGCCGTGTTGCAATATATCATTTATCGCGTACTATTTTGTACAGTCCTTGCTGCTTAACTTTAAAATATCTCAGCCCCCTCCCCACCCCTAACCATACGCAGGCGCTGGGGTGATACTCACATGTCTGTAAAGCGCTCTGAGATCCTTGAGAAGACTCTGTGTAGGAGCAAACGGATTTTGTGTTATTCATTGCTCATTAACACATAAAGCAATTGTCTGGAAACGGGAATACATCTAATATTTACCTTTTTTAGTTCTTTTTCTTTTATAGTATACTGCAATGAGTACCACTGATAGAAGTAGGAGGACCAATAAAACCAGTGGGATCAACACCATTAATATAAATTCTAACTGATTTGCATCCTCAGCAATCAAGGTGGAATTCGTATCTGCAATGAATGATTCTGTGGTCACTGCAGCAAACGTGCTGGAAATTATCTCTTCACTTGGTGAATCTCCCGAATATTCTGATAACTCAGAATCACCTGTGGGAATAGGCACAAAATTGGGATTGCCATGGAGACAAAACTAGTACGTTATGTTTCTAATAATTTTAAATGTATACTATGATAGACTCAGTGATAAACTTCACCCACTGTACTTGGCCTGGCAGTTCCAAGTGACATAGAGCACTGATTTGGAACTGGAGCTCAAGGTAGGAGTATATTAAACACACAAGGAGAGCCCAGAGACAAACTTCGCACAAAGGAAGGCAGTTTGGCCATGACCAGACACTTCAGACATGCTTAAGTAAACAGTATCGGAAAGACTTTTTTTGGTCAATGTAATTTCCCAAGTCAAGTAATATGGTTGGTATTGGACATTTCCTATAGAGCAGGTGTCCTCAAACTATGGCCCACGGGCCACATGCAGCCCACCTAGGACATTTGCTGCTGCTGCCTGTCCTGTTTAGCAGCCAACTCATCCTGGGGCCCACAGTCCAGCCCTCCAACTATCTGAGGGACAGTGAACTGGCCCCCTGTTTAAAAAGTTTGAGGACCCCTGCTATAGAGTATCACAATATTTTAATAAAATTTATGAATACATTTAAATTTGCATTTACTGAAAGTACTTACCATATAACATTTTAGATGTAAAGAAAGGCACTCCACATGCTAATTTTTTCTTTTCTTTTTAGACAGACTCTCACTCTGTCACCCTGGGGAAAGTCTGATGGCATCTAGTTCACAGCAACCTAAAACTCTTGGGCTCAAGCAATCCCCTTGCCTGAGTCTCCCGAGTAGTTGGGCTACAGGCACCTGCCACAATGCCCAACTAATTTTTCTATCAGTAGAAACAGAGTCTCACTCATGCTCAGGCTGGTCTTGAACTCCTAAGCTTAGACAATCCACCTGCCTCAGCCTCCCAGAGTGCTAGGATTACAGATGTGAACCAACTCGTGAGTCCTGCATGTTAAGTTTTTATAAAAGTTCACCCTCAGTGGAAAAGGATTATTTGAAATTGGAGTGACTGCTCAGACTTCAGTGGAAAGTCTCACATTCTGCATGAGAATCTAAGTCTCACATCTTAGAGTCTGCCTCTAAGATCATCTGACAGAAATCCTCCTGGATTCTAAATAAAAACACAATATATATATATATATCACTGGTAAAGTGAAATTCTCAAGGGGAAGCTCCCTTAAAGGCTAAGGAAACTGCCCTAATACTTAAACGTATTTATTAAAATACATCTGCAGAACTTTCCCTATTATCAAGCTATAAGTAACTTTATTCCATTTGAACCTCAGAGTATGCTGAAAGGACTACTGACCTGGTGACTATTCACCTGGCCTGCTGGTCACGGTAAGATAAGCTGAAGGTTTTGTCCTACTATGGAATAATATCATCTGCCTTTCAAAGGGTCCACTGAGGAAAATACCATGTAAGTTAAGACTATAGAAAACATAACACATGAGGTAATTTACATGAAAGTTCTTTCTAAAGTGAAAGGTGCTATGCAAATAGAAAATTCGGCTGCTTTAAATCACACTCTACAGTACATTTTAGACAAGGACTCCACAGAATGACCAAACGATTGCAGAGCCAACTCAATAGTTTATCTATGTCCATAAAGTGCAGGACAATGGTCCTCTGATATGGGTTGGCCCACCAAAATGTTTGGCCCAAAAATATCTGGCCACCAATTAGAAATGCCCTAAAGAAGAGACTAGAACTTACTTGTTCTCTCTGCCATGTGTAGATACAGTGAGAAGACACCAAATCTTCAGCACCCTGATCTTGAAATTCCCAGCCAACAGAAATAAATGTTTGTTGTTTAAGACACGTTTTCTGTGATGTTTTGTTATGGCAGCTGAGCTAAGAGGTCATAATCTCATTACCCTGGTTATATAGATAAACATCTTAGTCTTCTACCCCTGGGAAGCCATCTGATAATCACTTTGGTAAAAACTGCCCCAAACCATCAGAATCAGTTATAAACTGCAGAGTAAACTCACTAATGTTCCTCTCACAGAAATGCCAAAACTAAGATAAAGGGAAAAAATCTACCACTTGTTTAAGAGAGGAGGGGCTTTAAGACGGCTGATTAGATGCATCTGGCACTTGTCTATTCCACAAAGAAGAACCAAAAAGCAAGTAAAAGATCACACTCTGGGCTGGGTGCAGTGGTTCACAGCTGTAACCCTAGTGCTCTGGGAGATTAGGAGGATTGTTTAAGGCCAAGAGTTTGAGACCAGCCTGAGCAAAAGTGAGACCCTGTTTCTACAAAAAATAGAAAAAAATCAAAAGAAAGAAAGAAAGAAAGAAAGAAAGAAAGAAAGAAAGAAAGAAAGAAAGAAAGAAAGAAAGAAAGAAAAGAAAGAGAGAAAGAAAAGGAAGGAAGGGAGGGAGGGAAGGAAGAAAGAGATAGAGGAAGAAGGAGGAAGGAAGGAGGGAAGGAAGGAAGGAAAGGAAGGAAATCACACACTGAATAGACTATCTGGGAGAGAAGAGTGGAGTTCAACAGAAAAGTAACAAGGAACACTTCAGGCAAGGAAGGAGAGGGAAGCAAGGCATCTTGCTTAGTCAGGATTGGCTGGGAATCTGGAGAGGCTCCCTAATTTAGGGAAAGGGTGACAGTCTCCTGTGTTCCACATTCTCACCATGGACTCCTACATCCTAGCCATGGAACAGTCTATGGACCCTCAAAGGCCTGAGACTAACAAAGCCAGCTACCTAGAAACCAGCCAATGGATTGCTCCAGAGAGGGAGCTCATGATGGGTCCCACAAATCCCCGAGCTCTTACTAGACACAGCATGGTGCCATTTTGAGAGCATAGCCCCCACCCGACTGCATCCTACATCTCCACATCTCTGGAGCCCCCCTGATATTTCCTGCCCACAGCCACCACCAATGCTGGTTGCTACCACCAGGGCCAACGTGGAGCCACTGGAAACCCTGCCCCTCCTCCCCTACCCAAGAGAAGCAACCACACATTTTAACATGTTCCAGGGACAAACTCCACTGCCCATAGCCAGGACCTTTGCACTAGGTCCAAAGTGTGAGTGAAGCCCATGTCCTCCTGCTGCCTCCCTACAGCAGGGAGGTAGTGCGGCCTCCACACTGAAAGTAACCCCACCCTTCTCAGTAGTGGGGCCACAGTGCAGCCACTGCTGTCCCCACCTGAGCATTCCACTGGTGGCCTGGATTATCCCACCTCTCCCCACCACAATCAGCACTTGCATATATCACTGGGAAGCCCAAGGGAAGTCTGCCTGCCCCAGAACTGCCCTCCCCTAGTACCTGAGCACACTATCTGCTCCGAATCCTCAGAAATCCCCCATAATCACCATTATTGGCACCTGAGCACCTCTTCACAGCCTGAGGTCGAGCTCACCCAACTTGCCATTACCATCACAGCTGGCACCTACTCACATATGCTGACTGGGGGCATGAGGACTGGCTTATCCAGATTGTTACAATCACTGCCAACACCACTGTGGACCACTTTGGACCCAGAGGGTTGTTCTGACACTGCTACTGCCATCACCCATGTTGCATCTGCTGCCCAGGGGCCCCCAAACTCTTCCACCTGCCTGGCACCCAAGAGAGCCTCCTGGAGGCCCGAGAACCAGCCAGCATGGACATACTAACACTTGTGCCAGTATATGCCACTCTGGGGCCCAAGAACTGGTTCACCTGACATCCCATTCCCCAGCAAAACTTCACCTTAGCTTCCACTAACAACTGTACCCTAAGCCACTGAGGAAATCACAGACACCACTCATGCCTCTTATAGACAAAGAAATCATATGGAGGCTGCACTACTGCACATACCCAGAATCAAAGCCAAAGTGACCTGCCTATTTAACACCACAGATATCTCTTCAAAAAAAAAGCAACCCTTAAAAAAAAAAAATAAAAAAAAAAAAAACAAGAAAAGAAAAAAACTGGAAGAAGCAACTGTTTTACCCACTATGTGGGTATCAACTTGAGGATACAAGAAATACAAAAAAGCAATGAAGTATTACATCTCCAAAGTAACACAATAATTCTCCAACAAAAGATTCTAATCAGGGGCAGCACCTGTGGCTCAAAAGGGTAGGGCACTGGCTCTATAAGCCGGAGGTGGCAGATTCAAACCCAGCCCTGGCCAAAAAAAGAAAATAAAAGGTCTAATCAAAAAGAAATTTATGAAATCCCAGAAGAAGAACTCAAAATATTGATGTTAAGGAAGTTCACTGAGAATCAAGAGAAGGCTGGAAAACAATACCAAGAAATCAGAAGAACAATTCAGGATACAAATGAGAAAACTACAAAAACGCACTGAATAGAAGTTCTAGACCTGAAGAACTTATTGAGTAAAATACAAAATATATTCAAAAGATTCAATAATAGATGAGATCAAGCAAAAGAAAAAATAACAAAATTTGAAGACAAGTCTTTTAAAATAATCCAGTTGGACAAAAATAAAGAAAAAAGGATAAAAAAGAGTGAGCAAAGCCTGTGTGATATATGGGACACTATAAGTGAGCAAATATTCAGATTTTTGGTGTTCTAGAAGATAAAGAGAAATGAAAGCATTGGGAAATGTACTTAACAAAATAGTAGAAGAAAACTTTCCAAGTTTAGCAAAAGATTTAGACATCCAGATATAAGAACCTCAGAAATCCTCCAGTAGATATAATGCAAAAAGGTCTTCTCCATGGCACATTATGATCAAACTGTCATAAGTCACAGACAGAGATAATTCTAAAAAACAGCAAGAGAAGGCTCAGCGCCTGTGGCTCAAGTGGCTAAGG